CTCTTCTTCAGTAACTTAATGTGTTTTCACCCATTCTCCTGACACGAGTGAAAGTGCCCAGCATTCTCTCATAGCTACAGCAAATATTAGGAACATTTTAATTCATTTTCCACATTCTGTTTGGCATATAATGCCATCTATAGATAATCCTCTATGTGTTCCGTTTAAACCCAAGGTCCATGAAACATTAATTTGGTTCGATACACTGCTTTTCTGGCCTACTCACCCGAAGGCCCATTTCCCATTCATGTTATAAGCAAGATCCCTGAGCTCTAAAATAAATAATATTTTGTGTATTTTAGACAGTAAACCTGTTCCTTTGCTTTCCTTTAGTAACAGATTCTCAAAATCTGTCTGCTTCCTTGGATGAAAGCGCATACATTTTTGCACCACAAAGCTCTTCAGTTGCAAATACTGAAAGAAAGGCTGCTTCTTTGGTTTTCGCTGGGGACACTTTAACTATTATTTAACGCTGCCTTGAACCAAGAGGAAAGGCTGGGTATAAATGTTTAATAAATAAGTTAATAAACAAGCCCATACATACACAATCCTTCCTTTGAATTCTTTAGTTAATCTCAGATGTCCCAAGTAAGGCTTCATTTATAAATTCCGTTACACTGGTTAATTTCCCCTTTGCCCAAAAACTAATGACTTCCTGACTTCACAGAATTTCTCCCTATGAAGAACTATGGTCAGCAGTAAAACTACCTCTGGCTAATTTTAATTCGTATATCCCCATTTAGCTATTTTTTCCCTATTATCTGGATATTATTTTCCTTCACCAAATTCTTTTTTTTTTTGGCCTGAATTAATTCTCCATTGTCCATCGTTATGAGCAATTTTATTATTTTTATATATGCTTATTTTGTTGCAATTGTTGCTTTTTTGTAAATTGCCCTGAATATTTTTAAAGCAGAAGGGCAGGGTGTACATTTGACAATCGAATATATACATGTCACAGAGGAAGGATCACCCAAGTATGTGTTTCAAAGCTGACAGATGTCTGATGAATTTCCACTACAGTCAAAAAGGTACATTAAGTGCTCAGGACTAAATTATTCAGATAAGCAAGTCTGTAAAGTATTATTCAGATGCAATAACAAATTATGGTTCATTGCTATGTGATCAAGTCTGTGTGATCCTTATGGTCATGCATGCTGATACAATCAAAGACTTTTGCAGGAAACCATCGTTTGGCATTACATGCAAACCAAAAGTTATGGTTTGCTGACTCTTCCATACAAACCAGCACTAAGCCAAAATTTGGAATTTTGATTTGTGGGACGAGTACATAGTTTGTGGATGGGACAAATTACAAGTTTGTCATGAGAGCAGAAGACCTTAATTAGATTACTTTGTGCAAGGGAATGAGGGAGCAAGTATTACATCAGATCAAGGGTGTCAAACATGCAGCCCGAGGGCTGGATCAGGTCCTCAGACTGCCCCAATCCAGCCCTCAAGGAGCTGGCTGTTTCCTGCTTCCCTTTCCAGTTCTGCTGCTGCCACCACATCACAACTTGCTTTTCCAGTCTCTCCCAATCACATAGGAGAGAGAGATAGGCAAGCCTCTCCTGTGTGATTGAGAAAGTCTGGTAAAGAACTGGCTGAGGCGCCTCCCCCCCTCCTCCTCCTCCAAGGGGGAGGGAGGGAACAGCCACAGTTTGTTTCCTGGCCAGGCTGCAGGAGACAAAGGGAACCCTTTCTTTCCTTCCATTTGCTGAGGCTCCTCCCCGAAGGGAGGGAGGGAACGAGGAAGAGCTTGATTTGCAATTAAATTGCTGAGCAGTTGGGTTAGAACAGATAAAAGGAAGTACTTCTTCACCCAAAGAATGATTAACACATGGAATTCACTGCCACAGGAGGTGGTGGCATGGACGGCTTCAAGAGGGAATTGGATAAACATATGGAGCAGAGGTCCATCAGTGGCTATTAGCCACAAGGTATAGATAGGAACTCTCAGTCTGGGGCAAGTGATGCTCTGTATTCTTGGTGCTTGGGGGGCAACAGTGGGAGGGCTTCTAGTGTCCTGGCCCCACTGCTGGACCTCCTGATGGCACCTGGTATTTTTGGCCACTGTGATCCAACACTGGATTCTCTTATGTTCTTATGTTGGGCTGCTTCGATCGCATGGGAGAAATACCAAGCACCTTTAAGACCAACAAAGTTTGTTCAAGGTATGAGCTTTTGTGTGCCTTGCTACAATGTGTGTGTGTTTTGTTGGGCTTTTTATGCCAGGGCTCTCCTGGGTGCAACTGGGTTTCCTCCCCCTTTTCACTGTGTTCATGCCCTCATGATCCAACCTTTCTCAGTAAGAAAGCAATATGAACTATTTTAGAGGAGGAATAACAACAAGCCAGTAGGGTGGCTTAGGCTGAGAGTGTGTGTCCAGACCAAGTTCACCCAGCACATTTCCTTTGTAGGAAGTTGTAGTTATTTCTCTGGGGAAGACTATAGTTTTGTAGAAAAACACATGGCCCTCAGTCTGTGTCAGGATGCCTTCTCATGATCCTGACCAGCACATGAAGCAACTTGTGTACAAAAGTTTGCAATGCCCAGGCATTTCATGTTTTCCCCTGGTTCCTAGGCTCAGAACACTGAGCATTTCTGTAATGAATGTCAATAAATCAAAAGTAGGTTTGCAGCTTACAGATACACACCTGAACAGCATACTCAAGATTGCTACAGCACATACCAGACATTTTGATGCAATAATTCAGAGCAAAAGGTGTCAGTTATCAGAGACTGTTAAAATGACAAAATATTGCAAGAGTGCTAGTGTTTTAAGCATGTTTTATTTAAAATTTAAAAAATCTTTGTGTTTGTCTGTGACTTTTATAAAGTTTATATCTTCGCTACCTGGCATTACGTTTTACGACACACATGGCCCGGCCCAACAAGGTCTCATCTATGTCAGATCCAGCCCTCATAACAAATGAGTTCGACACCATGCATCAGATGATCCCTAAATTGTTCATGTTATTTGTGAACCGTGCCTAAATGTGTGAAGGAAACTGTGTAAAAGAAACTGGATCCGATCTTCACTTCATATGTACACACGGCTTTCCAGCTATAATGGCAAAACAAGCAGTCTAACCCTTAACACTTTCTGGTCATTTTTGCCAAGGGCCCAACAGTTGCTCTCTGTTCTGCAGCACACAAAGGAACAGTGAGACAAATTCCATATTTGACTGTCACACATTTTTTTTTTTAAAGGAAAGTGTCTCCATTTATACAAGGGTCGATTAGCCATCCAAAGAAGAATTCACACATCAACAGACTTGTTGGAAAGGGGTTTTGTTCTCAGTTTTGCTGAATATCTGATGATGGCCTGTCCTCAGGAGGGATAGTACCCTTGCAAGAGCATCCGTCCATCGGGTTCTCCTCCCTACCACAGTACAAGGTGCACACTTGTCTGATCTCTCTGCTATCAGTCTCATCTTTGGTTCTGATTCAGTTTATCCGGGGAGAATATCTTCGACTTCTGCTCTTAATGTATGGCACATAACTATGGTAATTAATACCATAAACTACATCCCTTATGTCTCCAATTCAAATCTAAGTCTCGTTTGTGAAGAGCAGAAAACAGTGGTTTAAATGGCTCTGTGCTCCCCATGGCTCAGCTGTTCGATTGAAATTGTTTGGAGCCATTTAAACCCCCTGCTTTTTGATCCCCACCACTCTTCATGGGGAGCAGAAAGCAGAGGTTTAAACTTTAAATGGCTCACAAATCGATATGAACCTGTTTGGTTCGCAAACCAGCCTATCGGTTTGTGGGTTGGCTTGTGGTTCAGCCACATACTGCAAACCAAACCACCAATATGCAGTTTGTGCACATCCCTATTAACGAAGAGGCGATTTTTTGCAGCCCCGAAATTCTGCTAAGAAACTGTAATTTATATCTCCCTGGAGATTCACCGTGCCACCATCACTGAGCCCTCCCTCTGATATGGGTTTTGCCTGCATAGAAGCCAGACATATTTTCCCTAACAGGGACAGGGAATGGACTGCTAGCTTATAGCTGGCCACAGTGCTATTTTTGGGCAGGAACGCACAGGAACGGAGTTCTGGCTGGCTCCTGAGTTGGCCACGCCCAGCAGGAACTCATTAGCATAATAGGCCACACCCAACAGCAGAAACTCATTAGGATTGGCTACATTAGGGGTGTGTGGCCTAACATGCAAAGAAGTTCCTGCTACAAAAAAGCCCTGGGTTTTGACCACAAACAAGGTAAACAGAATAAGAAGCAAAAGGTGGGTGTGGCTGGATAACCACACTTCTGGTAACATGGGGGTGCGTTCTAATGTGCTAATGAGCTATGCCCAATATGCTAATGAGTTCCTGCTGTTGGGTGTGGCCTATTATGCTAATGAGTTCCTGCTGGGCTTTTTCTACAAAAAGAGCCCTGGCTGGCCAGAATGTTAGAAGCTGAGGTAGACAAAGTCTTTCTTCACAGCTGAATCTACAAACAGTCTTCACAGTTCTTTTCGCTTTTTAAGAGTATTTTTGAGGTATTTGGAGGAAGTGGCTCTATTACAGCACTTCTCTGTTTCATTGAATCTTTGTATGCATTTGTGATTCTGTTTTTAAATCACAAACCCTGCTCAATCGCTGGGCGAGAAACTCCTAGCTCTCTAATTTAAATTAAAAAAAAACCAACAACCCTGAAAGTAACACATGCTGTTTTCTAGCAGTAGGCTGCTTTTCAAAATAGGGGGAATCTAGGGTTGCCAACTTTGAAACCTGTCCCATTCGATCTGCAGCAAATACCGGATGATGTTACGTATCTCCATGCCATGAAAAGTTTCAGGGCTCATTTCCACCCATTTAGCCTCTACTGAAGGCCAGGACATTTTTCTCCAGGCATGTTGGCAACCTTAAACATCTCTGAGCTGAGGGTCTATCAAGCATGCATGTGCATACGATCTGGCTTGCATCTCCAGCTATCCACAATGTCACAGTCACTATAGACGCACATGCTCCATTAACCTGAACATCCTTACCATTCTTTTCATCTCCTTGGAGACTTGGTTAGAACCAAGATGGTTATAAAAGGAGCGATCCACTCCCCAGTGCGGAGGATTGTGGCCAATGGAATTAGTACGTTGACGGTTCATCTTGGCTATCGTAGCTTTTTCATCTTTCTAGAGAAAAAGAACAGAGCAACAGAAATTATTTTTTAACAGAAATTAATTTTTGAAGCACATTAATGCATTTTGAAAGGGCACCGACCAGCACATTACTTGAGGACTGTCAGAACCAGGCATGGGCATGAACCAGCTCATGGACCAAAGCCGATAATGAATTTACTTTCCTCACAGAGCCTTTACTTTCCTCCCCGTTTAGTGCTAGTGATCTTGTGTGCTGTCTTGCTGTCGGCAGGGCTATTTTTGGGCAGGAACGCACAGGAACGGAGTTCTGGCTGGCTCCCAAGTTGGCCACAACTATCAGGAACTTATTATCATAATAGGCCACACCCAACAGCAGGAACTCATTAGGATTGGCTACAGTAGGGGTGTGTGGCCTAACATGCAAAGGAGCTCCTGCTCCAAAAAAAGCCCTGGGTTTTGGCAACAAACAAGGTAAACAGAATAAGAAGCAAAAGGTGGGTGTAGTTGGATGACCACACTTCTGGCAACACGGGGTGTGGCCTAATATGCTAATGAGCTGTGCTGTCATGGGTGTGGCCTAATAGGCTAATGAGTTCCTGCTGGGATTTTTCTACCAAAAAAGCCCTGGCTGTCGGGGTTTGGGAAGTTTATCGAAACAGATAGGCATCTTATTCCTGCGCTCACGCCGAGCACAGGGGCTCAGTGAACACCATGAGGGGGTGCAAGTGGGTGGAAGGGGAGCTTGTCGTGGGGGAAGAAACCCTCCCCCCACAGAGAACCAGAGGCCCCTACCTCTGGGCATGAAACCCAGCCCCCCCCCAAGTACATCGCCAGAACTCTCAGAGCCTTCTTCCCCTGCTCTGTCCTTGGGGCTTTCTCAAGAGGAAATAGGGACGTTGGCAACATCCAGACGCCAGCAGTTGCTAGAACTCTCCGGAGAGGAATCCTCCGACAGGAGTAGTTCAGAGAATGGGGTGTGTGTGAGCATCTTCCCCTCCCAGGTCCCAGCTCCCTCCTGCTGCCACACTTCCTGCTGCTCCTGCTGCCCCAGGTACACCACCCTCTTGCACCTCCCAGCCCAGTGCCAGAAAGCAGCTGTGCCTAGTCCCACCGGCTCGAATCATAGGGCCCCATTTCCAGTCCGACCTGTGGAAACATTTCCACACTCTCCCCGGTGACCCCTTGAAAACATTGGCAAGAACCCATCTAAATTGCCAATTGCTATTAATAAAGCGATTCGGCTAACAGGGTTCTTCGGCTGAGAACCCACGTTCATTAAATCCTCCCTTCTGCCATGGGGGTGCTTTGGGGAGCCCCCATCAAAAGTCTGGGGGTGCCTGCCTTTCCACTGGTCTGTTGGATATTGGCTGCATGTGTCGGCCATGGGACAGGGGCTATGAGCAGACGGGAGTGCTCCGGACCCATGTGCAGTGTCGAATAAAACACCCCCATCGGTGGGTGTGCTCTGCACTTGTCTGTTTCCACCGTAGCTAGTGAATGCCTTGGCTGAGTACCCACATCCATTGCACCCTTCCTGATGCCATGGGGGCACCTTGGGGAGCTCCCATCGAAAGTCTAGGGGTTACCACCTTTCCATCTGTCTCTTGTATACTGGCTGCATGTTTAAGCCCTTGGTGGGGGTGGTCATGCTTTGGGGTTTGGGTGTTGAGGTGGACTCAGGGCTTTCGAGACACCACATTGACTTCCTTCTTAGGGCTTTTGAGCCATCATGTCTACTTCAGTTCAGGGCTCTGACCCACCACATCTACTTCCTTCTCAGGGCTTCGAGCCATCATGTCTACTTCTTTCTAAGTGCTTCTGAGCTACTCACCACACCCACTTCCTTCCTAGGGCTTACAGCTGCCAACATATGTTATTGCACGCTTTGGGATTTGGGTGTCAGGGGTGGACTCAGGGCTTTCGAGACACCACTTCAACTTCCTCCTCAGGGCTTTTGAGACACCACGTCTCCTTCTGTCTCAGGGCTTTCGACCCACTACATTCACTTCATTCTCAGGACTTCCATCCACCACATCATTTCACACTGGTTTGTGTTTAGGTGTCAGGGGAGGACTCAGGGCTTGGCTCCACCACATCTACAGATGTTGTTGCATGCCGGTTTAGGTTTGGGTCTAAAGTGGACTCAAGGCTGTGAAAGCGGCTGTGCCTCCCACCTGCTCCAACCATGGGGGCCCCATCAGTCTTCTAGGAATTAACTAAAAGTATTATATAGCATGATCTCAGCTTTGTGATTCACTGTTTTAGAGATGGCCCATACATGGCCATAGTCCAATTAGTACAACTGTTTACAGACTACAGTTCTCAGCAACAAAAACAGTCATCATGTATAAAATATACATAGCTGAACATGGCCACAACAAAATATAAAGCCTAAACAAGGGTCAAATCACAGAAAGATCAGCGAAGGATAGTGAAACCTCATGACAGTCATGCCGTTCTCTTTTATGAATAAAAGAACCATTGTTTAATCTATAAGAGCTCAAAATGTGACCTTCTTTGTGCCAGAATGCTAAGGAAACATTGGGCAGCCACCAAAAGGGATGTTTAAATGCTTCTAATAATACAATAATATGAAGTCACTTTAGTTATATATTTGGTTGCCCCCCCTTTTCTTAAAAGCTACCGTGATTTCTTTCATATCTCTTTCTATTTCTGCCCTTTAATCTGACACTAATTTCATATCTACAGATTCTAAAAATAGATCTCATTAGAAGCCAAAAAAAGGAAGCGAGAGCTAATAAGTAATCCGTAACCAATTATTTATTGCCTTGAACAATAAATTTGATGTTGTCCATAAATTTTTACTATGGCCTCACTAGGAGTTTTTGCGACCAGTAACAGTCTAAAAAGCAGCCATAAATCTAGCCTACAGCTTATAAAAGGAAAGGTATTTCATTACATTATAACTACTTCCATATCAAGAGATAAGAGATGCCATGCAAAGAGTTTTCTCCAGTGATGAATCACTTTGCTGAGATACAAAGAACAATGTACAAAAATTATTTAAGCCAAAGAGCCAGCGCTGTCCGAAGACGTTTCCGTGGTCATGTGGCCGGCATGACTAAACATCGAGGCACACGGAACGCTGTTACCTTCCCACCGAAGTGGTACCTATTTATCTACTTGCAATTTCTTGCTTTCGAACTGCTAGGTTGACAGGAGCTGGAACCAGAGATGGGAGCTCACTCCGTCATGTGGCACTCGGGTCTCAAACTGCTGAACTACCGACCTTCCAGCCTGCAGTTCAGCGTCTTAACCACTTGAGCCACCGCAGCTCCATTGTTCTACAATGTTCTACAGGTCCATTCCTGTCCTACAATACCAGGAATTTAATGACCTCAGACCCTTCCAGACTTGGAACCCACCTTTCACACCCCAGGTAGCAGCACAGCCACTTAATTGCCAACAAGTGACAACCAGTAACATGACACCACATTCATATGACAAGAAAAGCCCTGTCCTTGCTAAAAAAAGGGAATCAGTCTTCAGCAGCTGATCTTGCCACATTATTCTGGTGCTTCTTTCATTGTGCGTGGGCAGGCCGGGAGGCACAATTATTCCCTATGCATGAACGCTAGCAGCAAATTCTTCCAAAAAAGCAGAATAAACATATTGGTGAATCTACAGGGACATACTGCTCAGCAGCTGGGGCTCTATTCAGTGGCTGAACCACACTGGCTGCCTTGGTCAGTCACAGAACATGTACTTTGAGAAAGAAATTCCTAGGTTCAGTCCCTGGCATCTCCACCCATAGGCTCTCATAGAGTCAGCAAGATATTTCTCTGCTTGACATCCAACAGATTAGGAGAAGAAGAAGAGAAGAGATTGGATTTATACCCCGCCCTTCACTACCCCAAGGTGTCTCAGAGCGGCTTACAAACTCCTTTCCCTTCCCCTCCCCACAACAGACACCCTGTGAGGTGGGTGGGGCTGAGAGAGCTCTAACAGAAACTGCTCTTTTTTAAGAACAGCTCTTATCAGAACTACAGCTTGCCCAAAGTCATCCAGCCAGGTGCAAGTGGAAGAGTGGGGAATCAAACCCGGTTCTCCCAGATTAGAGTCCGCACACTTAACCACTACACCAAACTGGCTCTTAAAGAGAAGAGATTGGATTTATACCCCGCCCTTCACTACCCAAAGGTGTCTCAGAGCGGCTTACAAACTCCTTTCCCTTCCCCTCCCCACCACAAACACCCTGTGAGGTTGGTGGGGTTAAGAGAGCTCTTGAAAGAAATGGCTCTTTTTTCAAGAACAGCTCTTATCAGAACTACGGCTTGCCCAAGGTCATCCAGCCAGGTGCAAATGGAGGAGTGGGGAATAAAACCCGGTTCTCCTAGATTAGAGTCCACGCACTTAACCACTACACCAAACTGGCTACTAGTAAAGTACTAGTAAAGAGTAGATTATTCTGAGCTGAACAGACCATTGTTTTGAGGCAGTATAAGGCACATTCATAGCTGCTGGTGAAGCACAGAAAGGAAGGAGACGAATGTAGTGGAGGAGTGCTATAATGTGAATAGCAGAGCATCAGATAATGCCCATACCAACTCTGCATCTGTGCTGCAGTGCATCCCTCCCTCCACCCATGCTCACATCGTTATGTTGCGCTAGCACTCTATGTATTGTTTTAAACCTATTTTATTGCAATTTTATTTAATTAATTGTTTTATCTTGTTATAATACTATGTAAGCCGCCCTGAGCCTGCTCCGGCGGGGAGGGCAGGATATTAAATAAATAAATAAATAAATAAATAAATAAAACATGCCTTTAGTCTGAGCATGATCTGGCCACAGTGATCCATGCTCTGATCACAACCAGGTGAGATTAATGCAATGCACACTCTGTAGGGCTGCCTTGGAAAACAGCCTGGAAACTTCCGTTGATCTAAAATGCAGTGGCCGGCCTATTGTCAAGAGCTGGTTATTCTGGTGATTGTATCACCCCTGTGCTGAAAGATCTGCACTGACTACCTATCTGTTTCTGGGCATAATTCACAGTGCTAGTTCGTACA